ATCATTTTGGGAAAATTCTTTTTCTACCAGTCCTTCATCACCTTAAACGAAATTGGGTGAATACATCTCATATGGGTTCCTTGTTACAGCATTGTTTCTTCGTTAAACGCGACATTATGAGTCTTTTCATTTGACCTTTCATTTTGTTTTAAATGATGGATTGATGGATCAGTGAATTTACTTTACCAAAAACAGAGGTAAGATCACCTTGGATTTGTGACTCTTGATTTAAGTTCAAGAGGACTTTGATGCATCGTCCTGCGACTCAGATGATTCCATGCTAAACCTTTGTTGTTCCGGCTGGTTCAGACATCACTAGAGTTCAAAACCATTATTTAATAAAATTCATCTTATACTTAGCCGATAATGGTGTCTGAATACAATAATACCTACTATTTATAAGCTTATTCGGATATTTTACTTAGACATCCTACTATTTTGTTAACTAATCTATGCCTTTTACTTTATGTTTGCATATGAAGGAAGTTCATTTAACTCAGCGGCTATGTTCTCGCATACGTTTTGACACGATTTTGATGCCTTTTTATGAATGAGGTTGTACTTGTTTTGTATGTATGCAACGCTCATAAGTCAATTGGGATTTTAACGTATAAACCATATTCCAGGCTAATCAAGTCTCTTACTCGATAGTCTATCTTATTCTCTCCCTAATTCTACCCAATATTTCGATGTAATTTCTATTAACTTTGATACACCTTCCTCTCAAGGTCGGCAAAACATTTGCTTCTATAGCACTTTATCTATCATACTGTTCAGATTCAGACGTTTTTGTTTTCAGATAGCCTCTTTTGTGTAATTGGGCAGTCCTCCACATTAACACGGTGTCTAAAATTTATTCGCTCAAATCAAGTCACAACTCCGAGGCGATCTTCCTTTGGTTTTAGATTAAACCAACTTACACGTATTCTCGAAATGAAAGGCTCAATAACGCTAAATTTTTTTATACCCCCCTTTTAAGTTTAGATTAAACCGGTCCTATTTGTGTTGCTACTCTGCCTCTTCCCTAAATTACTTATGCTATTGCCTTCTTTTGTTTCTTTGCCTGCTTCCTGAGCAGTGAGAACTACGAAAGTGCTCCCATGGCTGTAGCCAACATTAGCACGGCAGCTAACCCTTCGCAGCAGGCTTGCGTTCGTTCTTCTCAGCCTTGTTCTCCATCTTTGTCAGATATTTTAGATCCCGTTCCTCGCGAGACTCGGTCTTCAGCTCAGACTAACGGCGCTGTTGAGGAGGCCGGTTCTGAAGGGGTCAAAAACGAATGGTGTAGGTTTTTATATACTGATAAACAGCTTCGGGTGGTATTGAAACATTTTTGGTTCGAATTCCACTCTACTTTAGCAATCTAAATTCAATATAATTTTCAGTAAAGTTGGGTTTCGTCTAGCTTGTTATTTTTGTTTTACTATGCAAAGAGAATTTACTAGAAATTACTTTTGATGGATGATTGCTGACATGTAGTCCAGTCCTATATTTTCATCTTGCTTCCTCTCACTCAGAGGAGCTTTCTCAGATATTTTGAGTGTAAATGAGATTCCATTTGTAGTACATTTTATACGCTGAACTTCGGCCAGCTAGATTATTAAGTATGAGTCACTAACTGTATTCATTCCTCCCAAAAAAGCAAAAGTATGTCTTATTGGTACTCACCCTCAGGACTTTCAAGATATGCTATGCATATACTTATTTTTTTACGCATTGTATACATCTGCAACATGCGAGAAGTTAATGGAAAATAGACTGCATTTTATGAGGCACATTCTTTATGAGATCGTAAATGCTATTCGCTTTGGGAAGCAGTGCAGGCTATTCCATTGGAATTACACATTTGCCAACATTATGATCTTCACAGTCGTGCGAACATATAAGCAGTTACTACATTACTAACAACCTAAACTGCACTGTGCTTAAGAGGTTTCTTTATTCCAGGACTTATTTGGCTATAAGAAAACTCCATTAAAGACTTTTGATTAGTTTTAATTTGAAATATAATTCATACCTTTGCTCTGAAGGTGTCTACAGCTAAGGGGCTCAACTTCATTGCTATTTTGTCAAGACCAAAGTGCTACTATGCTTTCAAATACGATTCATTCATTTTTGACACATGCTAAGGGAAATCGTCGGGACTGATTTCACTTTTTGTCAAACTGATGCTCCTATAGGAAGTGGTGACAATGATTTATTTATCATCTCATTCCAGTTACTTGAAAATAGCGAATTATCGAAATACGCATAAGCCTGATAGATTGTATTTCATTGATGCTTTCATTACGCAGATGCGATTCATCTAGAGAGAGAATATTTCCCCAAAATTTAACATAATCAGATTATACTATGTCATATAAAACAAAATCTATCAGGCAGATTATGTGCTACGTCGACTTCTTAGCATAGAAACTTGGGAACATTTCTTGAAAACGG